CAGGCTTTACACAGAGCCCCAGCTCCAAACCCCTGCTTTAGAATGTGGTTTCTAGTGTTTGTAAATTTATACAGTATTTGTACTAGTGTTGTTATAACCTTGTGTTTACCTTAAAAAGATCTGTCATTCCATTCAGAAAACCCCAACAAACAGCTCAACAAAATGAAATATGCAAGTTCGCTTTCTAAACTTGCCCACGATACAGTAGCAAAGTGTTCGTCTTTCCATTCTGCCTTGTCTGACCCCGGCCTTTCCAGAAGGCCTGATCATCTCAAAAATTGATTTTCATCCAGGAAAAATGTCGTTTTGTGCCAGATGCTTCATCTGAGCCCATGAATGTCTTTGATACCATGCCTCACTTCATAACTTCTTTCACAGCTCTGTGCGACTGTGTGGAGCTACAGTTCACACTGAATGTTAGCAATGGTTAATATTTGTTTCAGAGTCTGAATTCAATTGAAAACATTTATTCATCTGTTACGGAGACCAGATTGTGCTGTACAGCTTTTCATATGTATGGACCTGAGAGTTTAAGGGAATTCTGCTAGTAAACTATACATACAGTAATGGTACAAATTACACCATCACAGAAAACCCACTGCAGGATTCTTGAAGGGATAAAGGCCCTTATCTGGGATTTATTAGGCATATTAAGCACACTTAAACCACTCACGCAAACACTGGCTGGATAGAAATTGAGACTCATTATCAAGCCAACTGGGGGTTTCATAGGAAACTATTTTGGATCAGAATTCTCAATCCATTGCCAATTTCTTAACACAAAGACCATTCTGATGCCAAAACTAGTTGGAGACAAAGGTATACTCAAGTGTTTTAGTAATATAGTAGATTTGTGTATGTTTTAATTATGACCATGTGCTTTAAAGTGAAGAGATGACTGTAAAAGATTTTGCCATTTGTTCTTGCGTTAAAAAAAAGTTAAATTAGGACAACAGTACCTTATTTATTTTTCACATAGCTTTATTTATTAATACTAAACAATAGATTTTTTTTTTTCTTTGAAAAATGAACTGTTGGTAGCCAAAGCTGCTGTATGTTGTAGACCAGTTCCCTTTTCTATCTGCAATATTCTATACAGCCTTATTTATTTCACTGTTGAAACCCTGTAAATATATTTCCTAGATGATCAACTGCAACATTTATACTTACTGTAAGAAATAAATGTGTGAACCAAAGCTCATGATACTCTGATTTGGAGGAGCAGTCGCCTACAGTGCAGTGATGTAGTCCAATATGGCAGTGGTTTTCACCTCCTTTGCAGATTTGCAGCACTCGTGCACATTTGCTCCAGATGGGAATTCGTCGTCTTTTAGTGGCTTTACATCCGACAGTTTTCTCTTGCTTTCCACGGATGTTTTCTTATCTCTGACACAGGCGATGCTCAGTGGTGGCGGGTTGCTTCTGGGCGTGTCCTCCAAGATCTGAGCATCAGCAAAGAGCAAATCCGCTTCATCTACCCAATGGGATAATAAAACACATGACAACAAAGACATACAGACCAGACCTGGAAACCTGGCTAATCATCAGTGCAAACTGCTGTTGTTTATGAGCAAGCTCCAACTGACTGAAAAAGCTTCTCCAGAGAATGAATAAACACCGGGGTCAGTTTCCCAAGCCTTGAAATCATCAAATGCAACACGATGCTTTCTGGTAGACTAAAGATATTTACAAAATGTCCAGTGACAAATACAAGAGGTAGCTTATGAGGTCCATGTAATATCACGGCATGTTCCTCAGGGTGAAAATAGATCTGTTGTGTGTTTAACACGTAAAATTACAGCTCCATGTGGGGAATAAACTGATTTATTCCTACTAACCATCCCACTGCTAATTAAAAGTGTAAGTCTGTTGTATTCATGACAATCTTCAGTAAAAAGCCCTTTCTCTTTCAAATTCTATTATTCTGTTAAGGCACTAAAGTCTCAAACATCTTGTCTACTTAGGACCACAAACCATTGGAAAGATAAGGAGTTTGCTTCAACAGCTCAGTTATCATTCAACCTGGCTTACGAAAAAAAAAAAAAACCCTTGTCTTTGGGGCTCAGGTACAAATTTGCCAGTCTTCAAGCAGATTTTGTAGGTCCAAACATTATGACAGTCTCAGAGCCTGAGTCTTAAGCAACACAGGATGTCTTCCAGTCCACTGGGACACCTTGGTTTTCAGAGAAGGATCCTGTAGTAGTCGTCCCTGTAGCTGTACAAGACCACCACAGCCACCCTACAACAACAAAACATCTTAGAATCAGGGTTATAAAATTCAGCTGTTAGATGTCTATATTAAACTGTCAAACTTTCACTTACTGAGTGAAATGCAAACAACATTTAGCTCAAAGCACTGCTGCGACTAAGAAGAGCTGACACCACAGCTGCAGGCTTGTTAAACCGGCACTAGAGATACAGGCTGCACTACGGAAGAGTATTAGGGCCACTGCATAAATTTTTTTTTAATTAGGGCCACTGCATAATTTTTTTTTTTTTAATTCAGACTTTATTCTCAGAATTCTGACTTTATTCTCAGAATTCTGACTTTAAACTCATGGACTTTAAAGTCAGAATTCTGAGATTAAAGTCAGAAAGTCAGAATTCTGAGAATAAAGTCAGAATTAAAAAAAAAAATTTATGCAGTGGCCCTAATACTCTTCCCTACTACAGTTTGTGTCCACAGCAGTTTTAAATGCACAACCCTTATCTTTGGTTTGTGGTCCTGCTGCAGCCAGGTTGACTGCTGCAGGAGCCCTTTAGCCTACTCATCTGGCTTCAGTTGCGTGAGCCCCAAATGCCATAAAAACAACTAAACAAACATAAAAACACATGCTGAATGTATCCATTGCTCTCTGTGATGCTCATTTATCAGACTTATCCCCCCTAAATGGCAAATAAATCACAGCAGAGAGGAAATGAAAACCAACTGCTCTGGAGAGGTGGACAGGGAGAAAAAGCTTAGTTTTCTGTTACCATCTCATTCATGAAAGAAAATCTGTTGAATCCCATGGTCACTCTCTATGGGTGTTCACTAGTATGGCAACACTAGAGGCTCCAACACCAAGTTTTTAGCCTAAATCTGTCTCCTTGTGCTACATTCTCAGTATCAGTCAGCTGGGGTGTTAAGAGGCAGAAATCAGAAAACCAAACAAGGCAAATCCTTCTGAAGATTTCATCTCAGAAAATTGGATCAGCTGAGGACTTAATGTTGTGCAAGGCAGTAGCTAGCTGTCCAACAGCTCCCTTAGAAGGACTGATTGTCCCGGTTACACCCGGAGTGTGTGTATTTGGTTGGAGCTTTAGAACGGCAG